GTCGCTGTTAAAATCGCGCAGGCGTTACGGTAACGCGTAGATGTGATGAAATATTTAGGCGGGACAGCGGAGAACAGTGTGTTACATGCACCGCGCGACTCTTACCGCAGATATTCTCCGCGATCCTTCATCCGCGCGATTGTTTGATTAATAACGGCAACCTCGTTCTTGTTGTACTTGCAAATATTATCCACGGAGGCGAACCGCTCGCCGGTAGAACGGGAACAAACATTTTCGCGCATGCGAAATCAGTTTGATTTCCTGTCACTGGTATTTTCCATACTCGGTCGGCTCTGTACTACCAGCGTCGCTGTTTCGCAGCGTGGGAACCCGTACACATACACACCATGGACACTGTTCGAAAAATCGATTCACTTTAAAAAATCCGGTGGACTTTACGGAGAACCGTACTTCCGCGTTCGTATCCCTTCTTGGAGAATTATTCGAAAGATTAATACCACATCAAACACTATTATATACAGGGTGCCCCAAAAATGTCTCGCAATCCGAAAGTAGGGGATTCCTGAGATCATTTGAAGCAACTTTTTCCTTAGCGAAAATGCAATCCGCGGCTTTGTTTACGAGTTATTAACGAAAGACAGTGACCAATCAGAGGCGAGATCATTTGGCGCGAGACGGCCGAGCCAATGAGGGGAACTGGGCTCCGTGCACTCGTTGGCTGGGCCGCCGCGCGCCAGCCGAGCTCGCCTCTTATTGGTCAGTGTTTTTCGTTAATAACTCGTAAACGAAGCCTTGGAGAAAGTTTTCGCAAAGGAAAAAGTTGCTTCAAATGATCTTAAGAACCTCCCATTTCTGGATTGCGAGACATTTTCGGGACACCCTGTATATAAAATTACCGATTGTATATAAAATTGTCTCGATTTTGAAATAGAGCAAGTAAAATTGACATAGTAAATATTTCGTCTCAGTCATCGCAAATACGATGTAGTCTGTTATATTAATATGGATAGTATAATAGAAGAATCGTTCGCAAAGGTTTCAATTCGCAGGAAACCTATTGGAAATATTAAGGCACCGATCAGACTATCCCTGTCTGTTTCTTAAAATTGAATTGCGGATTTTATGCGTTTATGACAAAAATAAGTAAAAAGAAAATAAAACCATTCAGACAATGCGAAAACATTATTTTATCGCTGTGACTTAATTAAAGAGAATTCAGATAAGAATGAACTGCCTTCGATGTTCCTGTATCTTGCAATTAACGTAGACTATTATTTCGCACAAAAATCCACAGAGTCTAATTACAATTGATTTTTATGACGCCGTTTGTCCTTGTACCTTCTGCGCGTGCGATAAAGTTCTTGGTTACAATAAATTTCGTTGCTAAAACCCGCGCTACGTTTTATCGATCAAAGAGCTCGACGAAATCGCCCCCTATTTGTATCTGTTCAAACGTATCGAGCACACGATCATATTTTCGTTTCGATTCGGAAACTTTATCCGCGGAATAAGCGAACGGCGCAGTTCGGTCGCTTAGGTTCGCCGTTCAGCCGAGTAGCGTTCCCGGGGGTTGGTTGATGAAATCCGTGGAGATTAGGGGATGAGGAACGACAAAACGGAGGCGTTGTACGTGGGTGTTGCATCAGACGGAATATGCAATTTCCTGGCCACCCTGTATCGTCGTTCCACCGTCGACCGGGCCTCTTTTGAAGGCTGCGTTCTTCGAATATTGCATGGCCGTCAACGACAAGTCGGAGGACACCAACCCCGCTTTGTTCTGCTCATCTCGTTTTACGGGATGCCAGCCCTCATATCGGGATTGGGTGGCCTCCGACAGGAGTCATCGCGCCCGCACGCCCACCACAAATTTCAGGATTATTCGATCCCTCCAACCCCGCGCCGACCGGTCTCGACGACAAGCATCAACGAGACCCGCGGCGAAACTTAGGGCCGGCCATCGTAAAGCTGCATGCTACTCGGCCGAATGAAAATAATCGGGACTTGGAACGGCCTCGTGGTCTACCGACTCAACGGACCAATCTCTGCCAATCGCCCCTTTACGATCCGCTATGCCGATTAATTCTTCTTCCTTTTTTTTTCTCCACGACGGGATTAAGCAGACTGCGGCTGACGGGGGGTGGAAGCGTGTTGGAACAAGTTAGAGTAAATTGCGGCCAGGTATTACGAAACTATAGTTAACGCTTCGTAGGTAATATTTAAGAATCAAAGGTGCATTGCTAGACGACGCGGCAGTTTTATCCGCAGGCCAAGTTGGTCCTAAATTCGTGAAAAGTGATCGAACTTGCGTCTTGGGATCGTTGATAAACGCGTGTTTCCGTTGTTATTAAGTCTAAATAAACACGAATCTGCGAACAAAATCGTTACGATCGAGCAGAGAACGCAAAATGTAGCTACAAAGCGATAAAAACGCTGCGAAATGCTTGAAAATGACTCTTTTCGAGCGATACAAAAGGCGATATTCGTATTTTATTAAGTTCTATCGAATTATGCATGAAAATCCAAGCCTATCCTCAACCGAAATAGAAGCCAAAAAGCAGCAGAACGATTCTCTACGATTAAATACATCATGAAAAACAAATAAAATTTACTAAACACGTATCTACTCACGTTACTCACTTCTGTCAAGGTAAAATAATTCTCTGCCTTTCTGACATCAACTTTTAGCCATTGGAGGAAAGATATGCATATAATTGTGGTTTAATGGACATCCAGTAGCCGACGCATTAATTGAGAGAAACGCATCCATTCGTCTTACAGGAATAAAACATTGATTCTTCATTCCACTAGCCTCTTAATTCTTCCAACACCCGAGGATAATAAATAAACACGTCGTCGTGGTGCTCACCTGTCCGACCGGTTCTCTCATTACACAACGCCTTTAAGAGGATTTCCATGGAAACGGTGGATTACACGCTATCACGTTGCTGTTTCCATTCAATTTCTGTAGCGCCTGCGACAGCGTTTTTCCACGGCCGGCCTAGACTCCGTTATCTCCGACAGTAATCCATCTTCGTAACTTCTTCGGGGTCGGAGGAGGG